CAAATCTGAGCCAAACTGACAAAAACACATCTCATCATAAGTGACAGTTCACCAGGGGCGTCAATCGCTTCTCAAAGGTGGGGGAGGGGGGACATATCGTGATCAAAACTGATGTTAGCGCGAAGCGCGAAGCCCTTACGGCGTGGGGTTCGGGGCCCGTTAAGGGCAACGAAAAAAATGGATTCTAGATACTCTGTCGTGTGATCTGAAGCAATTTATTACCACTTTAACCAATAGTTTTCTTAGCAAAAGATAATAAATTAAACATAATTTTTGAGGTTTGCTCAGCTAAAGGAATAAGATAATTATTTGAACATCGTTTTTGAGGTTGGAGTTATTGAATCAGCTACCAGGTTCCTGAGCGACAGGCGTGGGGTTCGATGCCCGCTTAATGGCCCTGAAAAAAAATTGGATTCTAAATGCTCTGTGGTGCTATCTGAGGCAATTTCTGACCACTTTAACCAATATTTTCTATGCAAAAGATACATTGAAGTACATAATAGGGCCCTGCAAATTAGACACGAGTTCAAATATCTGGGGGGGGGGGGACATTTGATATTGTGTCCCCCACCCTTCAAAAAGTGTGTGTGTGTGGGGGGGGGGGGACATGTCCCCCTGTCCCCCCCCCCCCCGGATTGACGCCCATGCAGTTCACCCTTGCTGTGCTTTCAGACTGACACGCAGTGGCGATCCTATAGCGCGCAAGTCCTGTCTGACTAGAATGCCTGGAATAACGACCAGCACTCCAACCACTCGATTTTCGTGGACCAACATTTTAAAACCAAGTTTTAAAGGTACAATTGTACCTTGAAAACTATAACATTTCGTGAAGGAAATTAATCGACCCAAAAAAGTGCTCCTTTAATATCACGGAAAATTTTATGGAAACTTAAAGTGACAAGTGCACACAGAAAGTGACCAAACAGAGCCAAGAAAGAAAGTTTGACCGACACAAAAATGTTTCTCTTTGTCCTGCATGTGCCCCCGGCTCATTTATGAGACTTGAAAGACCTTCTTTAGGCCTATTTTAATGTCCAAAACAACTGACAGACTACTAAAAAAAATTAAAGTCCCATAACAGTTCCTCCTGCAAACGGTACCCATCAATAGGAAGATATCAACATCTATTCGTGCAGTTTATTCCTTTTGAAAACTTGAACTTATTGCAGCCCCAAGTCATGTAAATTGTTACAATTACTGATTACGAAAAAAAATGTACATTAAATTCTATTGCGTGTAATAGTCAATGAGCAAAAGATATTACACTTGGTAATGAGGAAGCGAAAAAGTAGCAATACTATAGTTCAACTTGCCTCACCCGAGGCTTGCTTCCCCCACCCCATCCCCCTTAAATTTGGAGAACCTAACCATGATATTGAAATATTAAAAACCATATTGAAAACTATGACCAAACTCATTGTGTTCCCCCCCCCCCTCCCCCGCAAACGGGACCCAGCTGTGGGCCCTTGGTTCACGGACAAGAAGTCTCAGCAAACAAACTTTGCATGTGTTATAACATGACCAACAAAAGTGTGCAGGAAGTATACTCCTGCAGGAACTTATGTTTACTTATATTGTCGTTCATTTTAGAAATCAAGCCTTACCTTGGTCTGGGATGAAGCATAGTAGCAGGAGTACCCTTACGCCGAGATAGCAAGCTCGACTCGTCTCCATGGCTTGTTTCTCACCGAAGTTAATAAATCCCACCCGTACACGGCTCACGCGGCGTCCATTCTTTTGAACAAACGCATCAGTAACTGCTTAGTTTATGCCTAAAACTGAGCATACGTTCGACTGGAGCAGGAAATATCGTACAGACGGCCTGTTTACACATCAACTTTCAGGGGTTTCCCACTGACCTCTAGATGATCTCTGCTCGCAAAGAAGTTGTTCGCACGTTTAGATTACATTGCTAGTTTCCGGATTCACCACCCGTTTCCGTCAAAATTCGAGAAGCCTCGCGAACATTGCACTGTTGGTAAGGCGCTGCTCCGATACATGTTTTTGCGCAACATGCTGAGTTTTCAAAAATATCATGGCAAATATTGTTACATATAAGGTCATATATACATATTAAGTCATTTGTTTGAGTCCACTCCACCTCGCACTCTGGACACAAACACCAAACACGTCACGTCTTTCAACTACACATCTTCAAACAAATTGGAACGAGGACGTTCCCGCCGCTTTGAACTTGAAGATCGCAGTGATTTTACAGCTGTGGCTTCGACGTTTTCGACATAGGGGACAACTTATATTCAATTAAATCTTTTCCTTGAATAATATGTTTCACCTATTTTTTTTTAAAACTCCATCCGTTGATGACTTGCCTTCCCAATGCATCAGTTCACCTGGCATATTCCTTAGTATAGGATAGGCTTAACCGGAAGTCCTATAATGCATGATGGAACGACAATGATGCATTCCCGTTCGCCATAGGATTCTGTACAACTTTTATTTTGCCTGTGGGCCCAATATCTTTACATCACTGTCTGATTCCCTTCTCAATTTTTGGATGAATGGATTGAGATTTAATTCTTTCTGTTCTTATAACCATTAAGGAGATTGTTAGGGCATCACTGATGACAATGCACCCAGCTCTCCACACATCTCTCGATTCTGCGCTGCCCATTTGAGAATCGGCAAACTAAAGGTCAGTCCACTATCTGATTTTATCTTGCCACCTCTTTTGCTGCCTCGATCTTACCCCGTTTCCTTCCCCCTCTCATTGTGCCCTGCAAGATGGTCTTTGTTCAGCCAGATGATCGGGAGATATGTCCATACCAGTTTAGCTTGTGATTCTTGACAGTGGTCATGAGATATCCCGATATCCTTGTGTGTGTGTGATCTTGTGAACCTCCTCATTTGTCACACGGTGTTTGTATGAGATGCCCAAGATCTTGCGATAACACCCCATTTCCATGGCTTGTATTGTTCTGTTTAGCTCAGCATAGAGGGTCCAAATTTCACAAGCATAGATGAAGTTCGATATCATGAGTCAGCCAAGCCTACCGTGTCTGGTTTTATATATAATGCCTTATGTTCGGTTTTCTCAAGGCATTGTGTATACGAATGTCTTCAAAATGCATTTTATTTCTAAATGGTGGCTTCCTTATATGGAATAAATTCCATATGGTATAAATTCCGTATATGGTATAAATTCCTTATATGGTAGAAATTCCTTACAACGCAATTGCAAATATAGGCCTATTCAAAGCAAATGCAAATATTCACACTTTAAACAATGACAAGTTATAATGACTAAATTCTAGTCTGGACTTTCAGTGAGCTTCGAAACCCAATTTTCAGTTTTTAGAGATTTAATAGTCGATTAATATAACTTACGCCATTGTTGAGCATCACACATTGAAAAATATACTGCTGTTGTTGATCCGAACAAAATTGTGATATTCTCTTATTTCAATACTCCTGATTATATTATAAAATATTCATAGAAATTCGTTCTTAATTGATATACAGAAATGTCTGCCATTTCCATTAAAAAATATTGATGTGTCTATTATTGAAATGTGGGGACTACTTGCCAAAAAATGTTGTTTTTTAATTTCTTCCAATGACACACAATAGCAGCATGCAGCCACGCCTACCGAGTTCCAGACCCCGCCCACCCTAACACCACCAACATACATATTTGTTTATCTTGAGTTTCTCTCTTTTCATGGTTAATGTGTGGTTAACAATAACAATACCTTCAATTGTAAGGTTTTTTTCAGTAGTATAAGCTACGTTTAAGTACTGAGTATTTACTTGCTACCTCATATGTAATTAAGTCTTTAATTTATACAAATTATGATCATATAAAAGAAATTATCGATTGCTGTAAAATAATCATATCGTATAAGCATCCTTATTTAATAATCAGAAAGATTCTAGATGCGCTGTTAAACAATCCTATCGTATGGGTATCTGTATATTAATAAAACAATAAAAACGTGTACATTCTTCACATGTCAAACTGTCTGAGTTTCTGTGTAATTATGTTCATACAAAATCTAGATTGTATGTATACGCTAGTTGGTAGGTATATATTCAATACATTAAACATCTAAGAATCTAATTGTTACAAAATAAATGTTTATTTACACTGCTGCTTTTGTTGAGCATATTTCGTTATCGCTACTTTTGCCCCAGTATTCTTTTCACAAGTTTTGTAAAAATTAGGCCAAAAAATGTCTCCGGTTTCTGGTATGGAGCTTGCCCAAAAAGTGGTGCGGCGACGCGGCTTTTTTTTTTAACCTGTTTTTTTTTTGCTTCAAATGTCGGCTGATGACTGCAAACTGGTGCCCGACTAAACTTAGTCCAAATATATGGGAGTCCAGAGAGGCCACATAAAGCTTATTCTCGATCATAACCCCATCTAAAAAGACGTTTAAATTGTGCAGCAGCAGGATTTCAGTCAAACCAGTGAGTTTGGCGGTTTTGAGATATAATCTTTTATTAAAAAAAAAAACTTTTTAATTTTGCCGACGCGCATGGCTACGGCGACGCGCGCGCATACCAGAAACCGAAGACTTTTTTTGGGCCTTACTACGTTATTATTCATGCTTAAATTTTAAACATTACAACGATATTATTCATGCTTAAGTTCTCATCTGGATATTCAAGATAGCTTAAAAGTAGTTAATTCATCATCTCCCATAACATGAAAATCTGTATTCACATATCAAAATTGGCATTTTGCACAGAAAAAATACTTGCAAACATGAAGAAAATACTCGTAAACAAAATTATACTGATACTTCAAAATCAAACACTTGTATTAACAAGTTATAACGAAACCCATTTCACACAATGGTTGACGTAAAAGTATTACATTTCCTGACACCGAACCGTGATGTCAATCACTTGCCTGTGTAAAAATAGCCATCGTAACCATTGGAGTATATGCATTACCCTTAAATTTCTTATCTTATTGCTGATAGTCGTTTCCTCTATCTTTAGGCAGAATCGGACTTCGCCAGTGCCGTAAATTTGTGTCGGCAAGTGAGGGGGGGGGGGGAGATGGGGGATGACCAACATCCTAAAATTGTTCGGCCGTGGAAATTCAAATGCAGGGGAGGGGGGGGGGGGGCTGGACATCACATTACAATAGGGGGCGCTCTTAAGGATAATGCATATCAATGTGTATAGTCGCGCTTACATCAAAACGGCGCATTATAAAGCTTGTGTACTTTGTTTCTACATTTTTCAGTACTATTTAATACATTTTAGTTGTTGGGATGTTCGAAAAATACCTTAAAATACCCGGGATTTACGCCCCTGGACTTCGTACATCCGTCTAGTTGTCGTCAAGCTCCGGGCGGATCACGCAGAAGTTCTCATAGTGAGCGCGATCGATCGCCATGTACGTCTGCAACGAGAGAAATAATATCATGACCTTAATCTTCTACGTAAGTAGATTTGGTGAACTCACTTGGAAACGGATGCAAATCAATAATCTCACAAACTACTCTCGGAGTAAATTATTCCACCCTATACAGGGTGACCTTAAACATGCAACCCTAAAACATTTGCCTTTAACAAATGGGATGGGTGGATTTAAAGCAGAAAGCTTTTTTTTTTCAAGTACTGACAAAATCATGAAAATAGCACTTTGGGTTGCTTTGGTTTGCTGAGAAAATGCCATTGATGTAAAAGTAGTCATTTTCATCCTGTGCTCAAGAACGTCAAATAGTGATTTTTGTTTTTTTGTTTTTTTGGACATATTTATGTTGCTGAAAGTGTTTAAAATAGGAATAAAAAAGAATGAGATACCTGTTCAGGTGGAAAATATAAAGGAATTTCCATCAAATTCATTTGTACATTAGTCATATTAATATGTGCCATGTTGTTTGTAATGATTAAGACATGCACAAAATAATATGTACAGTGAAAATCCCTTACTGTGGTATTTTTTTGGAGTTCAGGATGATATATTACTACCTGTACATAAATGGCATTTTCTCAGCAACCGAAAGTGCTATTTTCATGGGTTTTTTTTTCAGTGTTTGAAAGAAAATGCTCTCAGCTGTAGTCTGATACCGAGAACATAAATATCTATTGATACATTTTTTTTTAAAGGGCAAATGTTTTAGGATTGCATTTTTGGGGGTCAACCTTTACATCCTGGAATTGCTAATGACTACGCTTAATGTTTACATAATGTTGGCAAGGAACAGGTGCCCAATGACCCACAATTAATCATTAGAGCTTAACAATAGCGGGACAATTAGCTTCAAGTTTTACAAAGGCTGATGATTCAAAACGTGACAATTAGTTTACCATTGAAAAGTAACAAACAAGACCAAGCAAGCCAGATAAAGCAGGTCCCAAAGCGTACAATATTCTATTCAATCGATTCAGAATGACCTTTTACTGGAAGTCTTCTCATGCATGTGACCTACACAATGGGATGTATTCATTGCATTAAGGGATATTTTCATTTGAAATCATTTGGGCCAAAGAGAGAATTCAACTGGGACCAGAACAAAATGAGTATTGGTTCAAACATTACTCACCTGTTCAATCTTATTCTCATCCATCTTGCTGAGGATGCGGATCAGATCACTGAAGGAGGGTCTGTTGCTAGGGTCCTCCTCCCAGCAACGAAGCATCAAGGAGTAGCTAAATATATAAACAAAAATATATAGAACAAAACCACGGCATGCATGATTTTTTATATGGATGATCTTGACCAAATTTCAACCGCGGTGGGTGTAATAAGTGTCAATTATGGAGTTCAGTCCATCGTAACTCCTCACTCCTCAATTATGGAGTTCAGTCATAGAGCTGTAATTAGTATACAGCTCTATGAGTTCAGTCCGTCTTCACGAAGTTTTCAAAAGCCTGCCACAAGTACATGCCGAGTCATCAAGTCCTATGGTAAGTAGCAAGCTTTTCAGATGAAAGGTAGCAAAGGCATTCCCATATCGCTGTTCATTTCCAGTAACTTATGAATGTACTAGTGAATTAACTTATAATTTACTTGTGACGGGACTTGTGATGGAATCGACAACACCACCTAAGTGTGTCTGACGGTTTTCCATAGGCTTTTGGGCCATGGGGGCGCCCTTTAGTTCAGAAACGAGGGCGAGTAAGGGTCATCAAAATATTTTTCGGTCCCGGTTATTCGTATCTTGTAATTATGGTGTTCTTTAAGCACTTTTTTACCCCGGAAAAGTCTCATTTGTACAAGCTAATGAGGCATCAGAAACACAATTTTTATTTTGCATAATCATTTGATATACTTTGGTATTTGGGAAAAAGTGCCCAAATTAAACACCGTGCTTATGTAAATCTTAGCATACACTGATGAATTGGCAACTAACAAAGGATTACATTAGTTTTTTTTTACACTCAAATGTTTTAACATTATGCGCGCAATAGGTTTAACACGATGTGCTTACATTTGCTTATCGCAGTTGGCAGGTTTAGTCATGCGGTATCCTTCCATCAGCCGACCTACTAGGGACCTGGTAGTAATGGCTGGGTATGGTGTGCCTCCTACGCAAAATAATGAAATTTGGAAAATAATCTTAGAAATGAACAAAATCTTCCAATGAACACACCTCTTTCGTTTTTATTTTGTTTAACTGGAAACATTGCATGATTTGTGAGTTCATCCCTGCATTGTCTGAATGAACTGTCCAAGATGACAACCAAAGATCTTACCAATTGAAGCGATTTCCCAAAGGAGAATGCCAAAGGACCACCTAATAACAGACAAAAACAGAAGCAATTGTCAGCAATATGCAGAACCATACAGAAACCCACATACAATCCTCTAGGCTGCAAAAATACTTAAACAAGGATATTTTGTATTCTCCTTATACCATACTTACACGTCACTTTGAGTTGTGTAGGTGCGATCCAGCAAAGACTCAATGGCCAACCAACGGGTAGGCACACGGCGCTGAATAAAAAAAAAACCCGTGTACACCAGTGAGATTCATATTTCATAATGGTTTGATTTTCTGAAACATTAAGGAATCATTTGATTTTTCAGATCAGGTTGGCATAATACCGGCTAGATCACTAAAAGAATGTGCTTTAATAGTTTGATCCATTTGCTTATAAACATCTTGATTTGGTTTGAAGTTATACTAAGAACCAACGGTGGATTATGAACTACACATGTTATAAGACCTACCGTAGACGTCTGGACATAAGTATCCTCTCCTCTCGAAAGCCCAAAATCTGAGACTTTGGCGACCAATTGCTCACCGAGCAAGATGTTTCTGGCCGCCAAATCACGATGAATTACCTGTCACGGAACGCAAGAAAACAAAAGGAAACATTATCAAACCTTGAGGCCTGCTCTAATTTTTGAGTAGCTATAGGTTTATAAATTTAAAGGTTAACCTTCCTTATGCGGAAGGATGAATCAAGGATAGTCAATGTTGAAGAGCTCCTGAAGTTGATCAATTTATGAACCTTTTAGTGACATACCCCGGACAAAGAGAGGTGATTCATTCCCTTGGCAACATCCAGGGCAAACTTGATCAGCATCTCGGAGGAGAGGGCGCCCTCGTCTGACTCCGATTGTGAGCGAGCCGTGCGCAGATAGCTGCGCAGATCGCCGTTTGGGAGATACTCTAGGGCCACGTACAGAACATCTGAGAGAAAACATCGATTTTTCGACAAATTAACATGACTCATTGTTTTTACCATTTCTTATATAACTAATCACACTGTCAACGTTTGTAAATCATGTTTCTTGAGAAAAGGAATCTTCTTATTATTATCTTATACCAATACCTTCATGCTGGCAAGCCCCCAGCAACGACACAACATTGGGATGATATCCGATGTTGGTCATTGTACGAAATTCTTCCATGAAATCTTCCCGGTCAGTTTTCGAGGCGTGACCTTTGAGCAAAATATATACAAGTGTAACTTTACAAATGTGCCGAAACTAAATAAATAACGTAAAATTCCATTTTAAATACTTAACTGTGACTGTGTTTTACCCTTTCTAATACAGTAAAGCCGACTATCAGGAATGATTTCGTTTATTCCGCATTTACAACACGAAAAGGAAAAAAGTGTGAAATTTATTTTCGAACAGAGTGGATTTACCATTCGCTTTGAACTTGTCATTTTGTCATGTTTGGTCCAGTTTGGTCTCGTCTTTTTCGTACGAAATTTATACTGATGAGTATTCCTTCAACATTTCATTTGGTCGTTATTGTTTGGAATTTGTAAACTGCAGGATGAAAATCGATGTTTTTTTAAATAACAGTCATTCATACCAAATCTTTTACCTTTCAGTATTTTAATAGCGGTTTTGGTCATCCTCCCGCCGATGTTCACAGTTCCTGATCTCACTTCACCAAAGTTCCCTTGACCGAGGACTTTGTCATCAACCACCAGGTTCTTCCAGAGAATCTCCCATCGCAGGGCCCACGATGGCAGGCCAACGTCCTCGTAGACTGTGGATGTCATGCCGTCCTCAGGAAGACTCACGTCATCATAGTCGATGCGATCCTGGGCAGGAAAAAGGTTCCAAAAGCAAAGGAATGTTGAAACACTAAATGTTTCATCCCTTTTTATGGGCTCCGTGCGCCAACAGGAGGGCGCCCTTTCACCTAGCAACGACGTCCCATCGGTCGACATTTAGCTGGTTGACGCGCACCGTTCCTTGTGTGTGCCGCACGTACACCAGGGGATTTGTAGTACAAGATGGTACGGCCGCGCGTCGCGGCAAAATTGTGAGGGGGTACTTGTGAACGGAGCGGATTCTACCGAGGTCATCTTTTGAGCAAATAATAAATAGTCCGATAGGGGTTAACCTATAATCCTAAGTTTGTACCGCATTGATTAACCAACTTTCTGACTAACTTACCGACTATCACTTGTTAATTACTTGGTATACTAGGTAGAAAAAAATAGACTTCCATAGTTTGCACCTTGGCTCAAATTTGCCTAAGATAAGAAACGATTAATGAATACTGAAGAAATGACTGAAACGGTGAACACTGACGCACTGATAAATTGACCAAAGGGTACGTCAATAGGCCACTAACCATTTTTATGGATGTCCTTTTCGGTGGGCTGTACTTGTTTCTTCGTTTCTTCCTCCGTATCCACACCCTTACACCACATGCAATCAATGCAATGATGAGTGTTGTGCTTACTACACTAACCACTGCAATTACTGCAGTGTTTCCCGTTCCGGAAGGGTCTAAAATGGATGTAAAACCACAGAAACAAAACATCGGGATATACATGATTACAAATAATGAATTGTACAACTAAAGATAAAAATAATGCATCGTAAATAGATTTTTTTAATTGAGCTTTCATATCATATGAAAAGTACATCTTACCGGTCCACACAGGCTTAAGCAGTGGACTAGTGATGTAATCCTCCTGTAAGTATTTAAAAAAAAACCAAGTATTTCAATATGGGTTTCATGAAATCAAGAAAGGTAAAAAGATCAAATAAATTACTTAAAGATGACAGCGACGACATTAATCATTTTAAATCAAAGTAACACAGTATCTCAGAAGCTTGACGATATCTATAATGAGGGAAGACATGTAGAGTGAAAGGTGGGGCAAGATAATAAGGTAAGGAGTGACAACCGCATCCACAAGTGGAAACCTAGGAAGTTAAACCACTACGCAAATTTCAGATTTCAGCACTCGATCGTCAAAGTAATTCTCACCATTTGATTGTCCAAGATGACGTATGCTCGTATGAACGCTGTGTATTTGGTCTTGGGAATGAGAGGGCCGTTTTCACCCGAATGACTCGGTAGCATCTGCCTCTTCTTACGTCTGGAGCCACCACATGAAGACTTCCCACTGCTCCCGATTTCAATCTCGGCAGATTCGCTCAAGTCATTTCTGCATTAAAAAGTAAGAATAACATAAAGTTATGAATCTGTGATGAAATAATTTGACGCCCTGAATTGCAGTCAAAACCTTCCCAATCAGTATTCTGAAGTAAAATGATGTTATGAATCTCTAATCTCCTTGGCAATTGTAATTGTTCAGATTATCTCATTAGTTTTGTTTTTGTTTTTATTTTTTGCTTTTTCTGAGTACGTATGATTATAGTGAGCGCTTCCACACAATTTATACCGCAGGTGACTCAAAAGAAAGTGACCTAATGGGATTTTTTTAAATATCTGGCCCGGCGCTGCATTTAATACAAATGACATACGTATACAGTACATGTTATTGAATAGTAACTGAAATTTTCACGTATTTTGCATACATTTTTTCACAAGTTATGTCCATTTCTATGTGCAAACCTGCTGTTCATTCACCGTTCTATGTGTCATCTCTGGTTCTCATTCAGTTCAATTGGCAAAAAGCAGTCCATGGACAGCTGTATAAATGGGTTTCTATCAGTAAAATATGCATTACTTCTCATAGTATAAACAATACTTAGGTGTTTTTTTTAAATGAGTGGAAGGACATTTTTATTGAATGCATGCTTTCTTGGTGTGTCAATTGTAACTGCTTTTTAACCCTAATCAGGCCGGGTTATTTTGACCATCTCTCAGCCCGGGGGGGGGGGGATTCCGCACCCCCCCTCCCTTAGATCTCGGCCATCGAGTGATGAAACATTTTGAAACTCGGTACATTCATAGAACAACGCATCATAAACATACCCAAGAAATTTCATGACTATAGGTCAAAGGGTTTTGGAATTATGGCTAATTAATTATTCATCTGTACGAATAGTAATTCTGCTCCGTGTACATGACGTATATGGGAAAATTCAGTTTTCACGGCGCGTAGCGTCGGAAAATTTTTCGCTATGTGGCAACCCCTGGTCCAATTTTTATGTTTTTGGTATCCAAATATGGGCAAGGCTCGAGGCTAAAAAGTCAAAACAGCTTGGGTCGCGACTCTTAGGGTTATTGGAAAATAATTAATCCTTGCCAGTTTCTTTTTGAGTCACCCTATAGTAGGCCTATACTTCTTTTAGTAAATGATTTTGCGATTGCATTACACTTTTGCTCATCTTTTGTAATACTTTGATTCAGCAGGACATGTATGGTATTATTTATATGGGCAGCTGAACCTGATAACATCATGATGAACATTTTGTAAGACATCCAGACGAATAATTGTTTGCATGTGTATCTCGGCATTGTTTTGTTCTGGTTGTGTTCCCATAATTGGTTCTCCCGATAAATGCAATTTCGTCTTGAAAATTAAATGAATAAACATCGTTCGCAAACGCCAGGTCAGCTCGACATGAGGTTGCACAACACTGATACCAGATAGTCCCAACAATACAGCAATTATCTGGAAGGTAATTTGTTTTGGATATATTTAATTTAGTAACAATGAATGCACAAAAAGTCTATTCGCTGTGCAACAAAAGTGCTGCACCTCCAAGATGGTTGTCACGCAGAAGACGTTTATTTGCAACAGAAACTCACGCTTTAAACACCATGGCTACGTATGGTAAACCTGTCGATTCCTGTGCTTTATCGAAGCTACGAAGGAGATCAGGATGATACAAAACGTCTGGATCCTTTCCTTCAATTCCCTCCTCGTCAGTCAGCCGAATCACCGTCACCTCCACGCAACTGCTCAAAGTATAGGTTGCAAGAACACGATTTTAAAGACCTATTATTAGAGAAAGGCTGTTAAGTCATGCAAGGTCTTCATACCGAGTACATGTATTTACTGTATCAGAACACAACGTGTACTGTTTTTATTCTTGTGAACAGTGTTTGCAAAAGTAACTCAAGATAGGTAGTATAGCATTGTAATTATGGCCATGACACTGGGGCATTTTACACGCAGCTTGTTCCGGGAAATCTCCAATAAGATACGAAAGCAAATTGAAATTTCATGTAATATTTTGAGGAAGGTCAATAAACTGATGAAAAAAATATGTAATTTGTTCACAGTGAGGCTTAATCCTTTAGCTTATAATCTAATTGGTTGCCTCCAAGTTGCCTATGAAATTGCCTGGTGTGATTTTGCCATGACGATTGACATGTCGGCCATGCTGACATTTCCATAGATGAGTTATTTAGAGATTGAATATCCAAACAATATGTCCAATTGCAATTGTGTACTTACAACGAAGGAAATCCTATTCCTAACTTAATGCTTTAATGTTTTAAGTGATTGTGTTTTAATTGATTTTTCAACCTTTCCTTTCGTCTTACCTGACAGGCCCATTTCTTTGACTCACTGGTGCTATTCTCAATTTGATTGTGGTCTCGGTGATATGATTCGTCGAATTGTCAGACACGACCAGAGGAAGGGGTTTTGCAGGAACTATACATAAAAGGTTTCGTGAGAACATTGAATAGAATTGATTTTTTTTTTTTTTTTACAATAGGTCAACCGTTTTAAATGTTGTTAATGTGAAAACATAAGTATCATTACAGATAACTGGAGTAGTATCTATTAAGCACCTAATTGCCTTGGAAGAGTTATTTCAGCATTCATTATTTGCATGCAGGATCCTAGCTGCCCTAAATTCCACACACGATGTGCAATACTTGATACTGGTTTGTAACTGGGAAGGTGTAAACTGGCCAAGAGTCGTAACAGTTATGACCCGCGGCTGAACTTAAAATACAAATCGATAAACACAGTATCCCAATGTCTAAGCTATAAAACCTATTTGTTCAACTTTTGAACACGTTGTAATTGCATGCTTTTTGCAACAATTTATGACTATGTTAGCATGTTTGTGAGAGACGTCATTAAGTTTTATTCCTATATTAGGTGGCCCATACCTGTGCACGCACCTTAAAATCCATTTCTCTATCATAACGCATGTCTTTGAACTATTTTAAACACTTAGAATATAATTATGTATATAACAATACCTGTAACAGTCACAGTAAATGTACATTCAGGTGTGGCCTCATTTCCAACAGCATCTGTTGCTGTACATGTGACAGGTGTCGGACCAATCATGAAGTTTGTTCCTGAGGCCGGTGTGCATTCCAAAGTAGGAGCAACATTGTCAGTGGCTGTAGGATCAGTCCATGTTACCATGGTTACCATGCTTCGCGGTTCAGCCACACGAGATATTGGTGACGGACAGGAATTGGCTGTGAATACTGGAGCGTCTGTATCTGAAAAAGATTGATATAATATTTAATTTAGCATCCAAGTTAGTTAACTTACAAGTGATACTTATTAACAAATGTTACAGACATCTTATCTTTTTGATTATGTTGTGGTAGAACGAAATGCAACATTTACATCAGCCTGTAGCAATGGTTTGTTGACTTGACTAATAATCGCCAAAAAATTGAAAATACCCATCGCTACTAGAAAAGTTTTCAATTGAAATTTTCAATTAAACATAAATGAGTGGATTTTGATATGTGCGAAATTGGTGTACTGTGGTGTATTCTCCCCATTCATAGAGAGATCTCTAACTCTTTAATGTTTGAACTATTTAATGAACTACTTTGTGCACTTGTTTTAGTACGTCATCTTTCAAAGAGTCCCCTACAAGGAAACTGGTGGTTGGTTTGTGACGTAAGCATTGGCGGATCAATCGGGGGGGGGGGGGGGGGGGCAGGGGGCGCACGCCCCCGGCAAGAAAGTTTAAAATGTTTACTATTGGTGAAAAACGGACGGTGATCCGACGGGCCGCGCGTTTTGAGTTCGATCCATTTTATTTCTCGTATTTATTTCCCGTTTAAAAATGCTCGTGCGCATTACTTAAAAAACCCTGCTGTTGTTTGATTGAGTGCTATTTTCTTCATCAACAAACAGAAAAATGATCATTTTGAACGTCTTATTTCCGTAGTTGCCGCGCTGTCCTTTAGTTTAAATTCACGGCAGCTTTTATAAGGGAAAACACCCAGAACTTTTTTTCCATTGTCCCTCCTCAGAGTATGACATACACCGTAATCAGATTGCAGTTTTGTACTGTTGGATATTGGGGGAGCCGGGGATGCACGCCCCTCCCTATCCCAGCCCTTCACTAAAATGTAAAAAAAAAAAATTAGAACAAATAAATTTGTGTTATTTTGCTCTGGACCTCTAGTGGCGTATCCAGCATCTGAAAATCTTCAAGAAGGCGCAAAAATCTAAAACAAAATGGGTACTAAAAGTAGAGCACAATGTAAATAAACTTGAGGAGTTAATTAAGTTATTCAGAAGTAAGGAACATGACAGGAGTATAATTTAATTTCATTCTTAAAATGGTCTTCTGGGCTGATCGTGCGTTTTGGTTTTGGGCGTATCGGCTTCGATGACGCACCGGTATGGAATACAAACGCAGATATGCGAATAGCCGTACAAAAGCCGTACAAAATGTCTTGGTCTCCATAGGTTTGTGCACAAACATGGATGCGCCCAGTAGGCATTACTTTGTACACGAAGTTAGCGCTCTAGTAATGTAATATAGCTCTATGTGAACAACCAATCTGATGAAGTTTCAGCTTAGCTTCAGCTGTATTTTTCGAGAAAAACAACATTCTAGGATCTCGATTTCAAATCAAAAGTTGCTGAATCATATTTTGAATTGGGCATGAATCCAGCGTCCAAGACACGTTCTCACTGAGCCGAATGCAGCAACGCGATGTTGCGCACTGATCCGACGAATCATAGCAACCGAGCGCGCGTGTGCATTGTGCCAATGCTTGCGCGCGCTTCGCCGAAAAACAAAACGAACTACTAATTTGAATTTTCTACGATGCTTTTTAAAAAGGCCTTCTTTTGCTGATTTCTTCAAAATTACAGCTTTCCAGAAAGAATAATTTCACAGGGAGTTTAGTTCCCTTACTATCTTTCAACCAAGTATGTTTTTCAACAATAATTACGCCAGTCACTTTTGGATAGCTGCAAATGAAGGACTCTAGCTTTAAACAACTGGACACAAGAGTTTTTTAAGGAACTCGCACCAGCATTTTAAAACGGGAAATGAATACGAGAAATAAAATAGACCAAACGTCGAAATGAAACTGCAGATTGATAACCCATTTTGATTTTTGTTGGAGAAATAACTACTAGGTCAAACATATTACTTTTACAGACTTAAAAATGTCTTTCCGTATATACGGAAGGGATTGCAAGGGATGAAGATGAAACCTTGTATGAACATCGACCCTTGCGCTGGTGAATGGGGATGACCAAAATCCAAACATTTCCCGACCGTAAAAAGTCGAAAAAGCGGGGGAAAGGGAGTGGTGGGGGTGTTCATGATACGAATGTACTCAACCTTATCCATTTTCAGTGCTACCGAATACAATTTGTTTTTTGGGAAGTAAAAAAACACGTTTTTGTGGGATGATCCAATAGCCTTTCTCGATCACCCGGTGTGTGTATGAGAGTTTGTTTCTGCATTCAATAGGGGACGTTGAACAATAGAGGACAATAGGATCGCCAATTCCCGAGAGGTCGACTATCCCCAATTTGGATTCGTGTACAAAACATATGGGAGGTCTTCCTAAAAAGTTTAAGAATAAAAAGGTTGAAAATAACATAGTTTCAGTCATATCGATATCTCTTAACTCCAACCTTCTATATACCTTCACGAATAGATGTCTTGAAATTAAGTTGTACATGCCTACATACAAACTTTAAGTCAGTAGAAAAGAGGCAGCAAGAAAAGCTATGTGATTAACATACTTACGAGGAGTTGGTGGGGGAGATGGGGCATTCACGGTTGATTTGCCAAAAGTAGGACTTGCGATAGCGGGTTTGACTGTAGTAATGACGTCGACAGGCCTACTTGTAGTTTCTGGGCCCGGGGTTGTAGGTCTGGTATCCATGCAAGTTATCCCAACATCCCCGTCGTGAGTGCAGTTACTCACGGCCCAACCGCCGTGGGAGCAGTCTACCAAACGCTCCTCGTCCCCAGAGCAGCTGACCTCACTAAGCATGATGGGTGAAGAGGAGCCATGATCGGGATCATCGTAGGCGGGTCTGGCTGGGTGGGCGGACCTGTAGCCAAGCTGTTTGCAGGCTACATCGCTGTTGATGTCGAGCCAGTTGTCTCTGCAGACTGTGCCCCAAACTCCTTGGTAAACCACCTGTAGTCGGCCCGCCAGATTGGCTGCTTCGCCGCCAACTAACCGAACGGAGCCATCTACAATGGAGAGTGCATGATTTCAAAGTAGCAGTGATATATTACCCAATTGAACAAAATGAATGACAAATCCAAGAACTTCCTTCTTTTTGACCAGAATCTTTCACAATGGAAATCAATTGAAGGAGAAGTGTACCTCTTCATTCTTAATATCTGCATATATCAAGGTCTCAAACTGAGTGATACATGTTTATCAAAATGAAGAGCAACCTATACGCTTCCCGCTGTATGTAAAACAAAATAAGAAATGAGAAATTGTGTGGAAGACTCATTTATGAATAATTGTCTCGTGTTTTACTTGTAGCCAACTAAACTTGTGATAGACTTGTGATGATCTCGACTTACATTGGAGCAGAAAGGACAGAATAAACTGAGGCAAGAGAAGCCTTCCTACTTGTGAAACAGGCTAGACAAAAAAAAAAAAAACAGACAATCAGATGGACAGACAAGCACCTCACCTGGCATCACTCCTTTCGGCAGCGGGGCAGTGCACACCACGCTGGTGTCCTGCCCATGCTCGCACTGATTCTCGCCCCACCTGGCGTGATTGCAGAACGCCAACTCGGACTCCCTGCCCTCGCACGTAACCTGGTCCAAATGAATGACCCCTGACCCTTCACCGAAGAACGCCCTCGGGAGGGCGCTATCCGCTGAGAGGTAGCCCAGCTGACGGCACACCACGTTTGCCCCCTCCATGTTCCATCCTTGGTCGCACACGGTTCCCCACTCCCCCTGGTATTTGATTTCGACACGCCCATTATGAGGGTAGGTGCCACCAATAAGGCGGACTCGACCGTCTGTGATAAAAAGAAATGAGTAAAAATGTTAGTAATTGACTGTACTAAATACTGAATATATTAAGTAATGAAAATGTAAATTAAGTAAGAAAAATAAAATATCAAGGTCATCTGAAAATTAGCAATAGGACCTATCTGTCCAAACGGCAAGAAAAAACGAACGATTATACCATACACGGTCATTTCTTTTCGCATATTGAATAATTTGATACTATAGAATATGTTGAAATGGGTCATGGAATAGGGTGAAAATAATGTTTGCAACTAAATTTTGATTTTACAAAATTAAAAACTCTGAACAAAAAACCAAAACAGATGCATCTTTATTTCTTGGTTGTTATTTCAATAAAAAAAACCTTACGGAGCAAAGTGGAGTAAAAGTCAAAAAACTTACAGAATAAGATATGAAATAGAAAGTTAATGAATGCTCTTAATTGGCTGCTGTGTTTAAGACTTCATTCATTCCCTAGCTCCGCCCCATGCAGAGGTGCTTGTGATGGAAAATCTCTTCAACAAACTTTGGCGAGGGAAACGGAAAACATCGTGGGATCGATGAAGGTGGAAGTGTTGACCCGTGGTCATCGTCAAAAAAAATTGTACCATACAAGAGCTCACAGAAGTGAACCGTTCCATCGTCCGTGGATAGGACGACTGGTAAATGAGGGAAAACATTCCACTAACCTTCCGTAGTGACTGGCTTGAACACAAAAGGAGCTCCACAGATAACCCCAACATCCTCGACGTGTTGGCAAGCCCCACCCCTCCAGGAGTGAACGCAATCCTCCAGCTTAGCCTCCGAACCCTCGCACTCCACGTTATCGAAGAAGATAGGATTGATGGAGTCCGCGTCTAGGAAGTAGGAGTAGGAGAGGGAGGCCCGAGCTGGTTTGAAGCCTAGCTGTCTGCAGACTACCGTGGCATCCTTGATGGTCCAGTCGGTGTCGCACACGGTGCCCCAAACTCCCTGGTAGTTGATCTCGACTTGGCCTTGGGCGGAGTCGCCCCCTGCCACCAGACGGAGGTCGCCATCTGTAAACGATGATAACACGATAGGTGTGGTGAGTTGAATGTGATTTGATGCTCTACATGATCATGATGCTCGTACCGTACAAATTGGGACTGAGAAGTTTGTTAGTTTAGAGGAATAGTTACAACATCTGATGTGCTCATCTCCCCTTCCTTGGCTAAGTGGTACATGGTTCCTTATTCAAAACAATCTGTTATGAGTCCATAGTGGATGCTTTGAGATAGCACCTACCTCTACCACACAAATGAGGTGTGATACCTGCTCTAAATTTGTAGCCAAAGCGTAGTGATCGACTCTAAGCCTCGTAAAGGGCGAGTTCCATTTACAAATTCGAAGACACTAAATCAAAAGAAACTGACTGCCTAACTGGAGGCTTCTATCGGTCAATAAATACTCTAAAGGAAAAGGGCTATCCCAAGGCGAAACAGAGGTATTACATCGTTTTAACTTTTGTCAGTTCACGTGGTATATCCGACAACCTTTCCAAATTGTATCTCTGGCGTTGGGAGCAGGGGTGGTTTTGCAAAAAAAGGTTAATACACAATAATTTCAGCCAGAGCTATCGACTTGTAGAAAGTAAAAACAAGAAACTGTCGGTAAATGTGATGAGAATTTAACTGTCAAGTTGAAATTATTTTGAGGTTTCAATGAAGTGTCGCTATGTTTCCATCATACTTTCAGGTGGAGTGTATGTCTCGCAGCTAATCATGACGTCATCAGCATGCGTACAGTCATTCTCTCCCCACTTGTCGTGGGCGCAGAACGCCAGCTTGGCCTCGTTCCCCTCGCATATCACGTGACCCAGGTGGATGACCCCTGACCCCAGTCCGTACCCCCCAGGAGGCACAGCAGCGGGCGGGTCGGCAGACTCGTAGCCTAGCTGCTTGCAGACTACGTCCGTAGCCTGCACGTCCGTCTCGTCACGGCAGATGGTTCCCCAGACTCCTTGGTAGTAGATCTCCACTCGGCCGTTGTGCAGATGGGTACCACCGACAAGACGAAGTGAACCATCTAAATATAAATGAAAACTTTTTTATGATGAGAAAGCCAAAAGCATTTTTTTTTAAGAAGTGATCGCAATTAACCAGTGGACAAAACCCCCACGACACTCAGTTACTGCGTAAATTGAATGTGATCAATACTTACAAAGACAATTTTGTAAAAACACGAAAAGAAACAGAAAAGAGTAGATTTTGTAACTTCGTTATTTGGGAACCCCATTATTGCAATTTCACTCAGATAACATGATAATATCTCTGCCTTTACTCTACATTGTATTAAATGTATTTATTTCCATTTGTCAACATGAATAAAATTGTAATGACAAACCATTTCCAGCTAAAGGTGATAAATGGTAGACGGCAGGAGAAAGCTGACGTTTTTAGGTGATAGGATTCCATACGAACATATTTTACACGTTTTCATTCCGCTTTCGTTAAAACATACCCTTCTTTTCATAAGATAATTGTTTTTAAGTGAATGGTATTTAGTGCACCTTCCGTTAAAAAGTGCCATTATATAAGATTAGTTTTTTCGCAACAGGTCACGTCAAGATGACGAGCACACCTTTAGTTTCAGACGGGGCGGGTGTAGCTAGGTCCCCGCCCACGCTGCACGTCACCCCCACGTCCTGGGCGTGGTCACAAGAAGCAGGCCCCGCCCATGCCGTCTTGGGGCAGTCCGCCAGCCCGTCATCGTACACGCCACAGTTTAATCCCTCCAGGTATATCGGCCCGGTGCCTTCACCGAAGCTGTCGAGCCCAGAGCTGCTGACCCCACCGTAGCCCAGCTGACGACAAAGGACCAGGACGTTACTGGTACCCCAGTCCGTCTCGCAGATCGTCCCCCAGACGCCCTCGTGGTAGATCTCGACCCGCCCCTGATAGGGCTGGAATCCGCCCGTTAGACGCACAGTGCCATCTGAGAAGCAAAGGACGACAGAGTTTACATTCTGCATTTATTCATTTAACGATCCTCCCAACTGTTATCATTTCGCGATAATCGCATGTTAGAGCCGAAAAAGGCGCATTTCAGCATCGAATGTGGGAAGACAAAAAGCGGCAAATAAGAAAACAGAAATTTGTTGTCATTTTATTGTTTTCCTTTTTGTAGCTTAATATTCCCTTCTTGTCTGCCTTTGTGTCCATTTCTGATACAGTTTTGAAAGACTTTTGAAATTGTTTATCAATGAATCCTCAGAATCGCTGTACCTGTTTCCCGCACAGAACAGAAACATCCTTCTTTAATTGTCCCGTCTCATTGGTCTCAATCCTGTTTGTTAGTGTGGCGTATATTCAGTTTAAACCACGCCCACTGCCCATTAAGTAGCATTTGAACCATTGGAACCGGAAGTTAACGCAATTTGAGTGTTTACCCAATGAGCGATAGTGATCAGTGGTGCGCGTGCCTGTATGACGTTTTTACTATAACGCACCGGATAGCTGATTAATTAGGCCCCGCCCCCCGCACACGTGGGTAATTTGCCACTGCTGCTGCGCGCACGAGTGTCATACGCACGTGCGCGCATGTTGGACATTAATCATCACTGGTCAAACATCATGGGGCCTTATAGATTGATGTATTTATCTGCAAACAAGTCGAATGTGTAATTCATGATCAGTCTAACTGGACAGAATAATAAAGAGACACCAAAAGCGCAGTGTTGCGTGTAGGTGTTATATAGTCTTTTCAACTAATTCGGGATTTTTTCCTTCAATTTTTCGTAAGCAACCTTCTAAAATGCTGTTATGCTCACAAACACATTGCGGGCGACTGGTGCCCAGTCTCTACATTACAGATTCTGATAAGGGGAACTTGTCTACCCTTTGCGGGAACTGCATTATTGTCGGCTCACAAATAATTCGAAATTCGTAAAGTAATTATTCAATAACTTCATTCGATGTCTAATTAAAAAGTAATAATACGTTTTGTATTGCGAGAAAATCAGCAGTAACAAACTATTTTCTTTAATCCTAAAGGGCCGGGCTATTTTGATCATCTCTCAGCCGGAGGGGGGGGGGGATCTCGGCCATCGAGTGACGAAAAAAATTGAAACTCGGTACATGCATAGAACAACGTATCATAATCATACCCTAGAAATGTCATGACTGCAGGTGAAAGGGTTTTGGAATTATGGGTAATTAATTATTCATATTCATGAATGTTAATTCTGCTCTGTGTACACTACGTGTATGTGATAATACATTTTTCACGGCAAATTTTTCGCTGTGCAGCAACCCCTGGTCCAATTTTTATGTTTTGATATCAAAAGATGCGCAAGGCTCGAGGCTAAAAAGTCTGAACAGCTTGGGTCGCGATTTTTTTTAAAGCAATCGCGCAAAAAGGTTTTTTTGGAGGGGGGTCTTTAGGGTTAAGTAAAGCTTACTAAAATGACGGATATACTTACCTGGTAGTGAGGAGTTGGAGTGCTGAGATAGTGATGCATCTGGGAATAAAAACAACTCCAACGGTCAAGCTATATATGAATATTCATCTCTTATTGAATATTTATGTTTAACTTATTTGAATATTTATTGATTTTCCTTGACATCAGCATTCAGCAACGAGGAAGTTTATAAAGGTTTTAATACCGGAAACTAACTGAAGTAAATTTATATGTAAACAAGCCGAACATTACAGGCAAACTTTAACCTTGGCTGGGACGCATTATAATACCTAAGGAAGAACATCGATCAGAATGTGCACAAGTAGAAATCAAAACGAATGAAAAAATAGCAAATCATACTACAAATATTGCTGAAGAATGGCTCCCTCAAAGGAAGCAGTAAATCTCAAAATTACGTCACACTGTTTAATTTAAATAATTGCCTTGAAATTACTATAGACCTAAATCGACTGTGTTAAGTCTTAAATTATGTGTAGATGTAAGGGCATCAGTGCTGTCGAGAGGATTTGACAATCCTCGTAACAGCTCAGTGGCACATCAGATTAAAATACACGATCCGTGCAAAAGTTCGTGCTAAACGAGCGAGAACCTTAAACAATTAACCTTAGACTTGTCTTCCTTTTGGCATGTTTGAACCGCAGGGTGCCGACTGCACGCCACGGTTCAGTGAGAATTTGACGAGGAATTACGAACAAACTTGTTATTTCAACTTTGGAGGGCAACGACCTTGAAATTCCGGAGAAGACAACAGGGGGCCTTTCGTGGAGCTGCTTGAGCATGACGATTTTGTTAAGCACAGAAAATATTTTTTTAGCAAAAGCCGGTAACCAGCCAAATTTAATTGCATGGTGTTAACATGTGTGATTCGTTCCCAGCTGACTTTTGCTTAGAACATACATTTGCTAAGAAATTTGCCATATTTTTGAGCGATGAGGGCGCTGTAAAGACGCCATTTTGTGGGTACAAACTACAAACACTAGTAAAAATCCCGTTTAATGTAGCAGTGGAGTAACTTTACTTAGATATGAAATGCTGTGTAATTTTTTACTTGTAGCATAATAAACTTGTAGCATATGCACGTCTGTATATCCCGAAATGGCGTCGCATTATTGACCAAGCTTCAACGAAATCGCCATATAAAAATTTTGATAGTCCGTTGGCTGGTACTATAGTTAGAAGTGAAGTCACCGTCCGCCATATTACTACTCCAAAACAATTATGAGTAAAGAAAGCCATCTAATATAATTCTACATTTACTTTTTAAGCTCTGGCAGGATCTTCTACATGTCACTTGGGTGTCGGTCGGTTGGTCGGTCTGTCTGTCTGTCGATCTGTCCCTGAAAATTGACCAAAAATATTGGACCAAAAATAATTGACCAAATGCCATTCCGTCGTTTTAAAATACACTCTTACTACTTACTGACCGTTTTCGGAACACCGATTATTGTTTCAATCGATGCACATGCGCGTTTATTTTGCATATTTCTGTCCCAAAAAATTGACCAAAATAAGCACCCTAAGTTTCAAATTGTAATTTTCAAAAAGGCAAACCAAATATATTAAACACTTCACAAAAAATGTTTGTAACAATTCAGAAAAAAAAGTTTATGAACTAAATGGCTCTCGATAAATTTATATTTTGTTCAATTGCTATTTTTGTAGCAATATTAAAGTTATTCTCTCTTGAGAGAAACAAAGAACGAAAAAAATCGACCAACTTTTAATTATTGAAGGGCGCCCTGTGCGCAAAATGAAAGCCATTTT